GTGGTTTTCTTGTAAAATTTCGAGGTAAGTTTGTGTTTTTTTCACACCGTTTCAAATCAGTGTATATCCTAAATTTTACTATATATTTTTACAAAGTGATTGATTCAACAGTTTCACCAACCATCAACCAAAGCCATTTGAGCTGGTATACATATACTCTTAAGTGACGGACGGTGTGGCCAATGGCCCTGGTCGTTCAGTGTGTGAGGCGCCTAGGTCATAACAAGAAATTATTGTTATTACTGCCAAGTATTGCAGGTATAAGAAGTTATACAATCGAAACGTAGATAACAACATTGCTAGGAGCGTGGAAAGAAATGAATGTTTGTAAACATCGAGTATATAACCAGAAATAGAGACGAAATAAGTGCCATATATTCCTGGTAATACATTAGCGATACAGCTCTTATAAATATCAACTCTCGTTTTACTGACCTGTGTGTACGTCTCCGTACATTGCAAAAAATATTCTGTATTTATTGTAATAAAGATAATATTTCTAACACTGCGGTGCTGTTCTATTCGGTGGTGTGGGAAAAACAGCAAACATCTAATTACAAAACAAACGGAATCACATTTAATCGGTAATTAAATATGAAATATGCAATTTTGCAATTTTCGTCTATTATAGCAAAGCTGAAATTAACTGGTCGATTTGAAGTGAAACAGTTGACGACACCTGTCAATTGTTTCGAACTCGGGCTAGCCAATCGGAGCGCAGTTGTCACAGTAATGATATGGCAGAATAGTTTTCAAACAAATTAAATGACATTTCGTCTCTGTTTCTGGTTATATACTCGATGTTTGTAAATAATATGTGATGAACAAGGACAATTACGTTATATTATATTGTAAAATTATTTTGCTAATATAATAATATACAATATTGTACATAAAAATATTAATAATATACAAAAATTAAAATAAACTTGTTAACTATGTTCAGACTTAGTAAAGTTAGTTCGTCATTATCAGATTTCATAGTGTGTGTTCTACACATATTGACTTACAATTATATGGACGTCGGGTCCGCGCTAAAAAGTGTCCGAACTTATAGGGCGTTAAAATCGTATACAGAGCGTCATTCACGCTTTAGTCTTCGTTTGTTCGACTGACAGCGAAGCCAGCAAAATTAGACAGTACTGCGATGACATTACAATTTAAATTCAACGTTTTAGCTTTTTCATATTCCTTTACATGTCACTACGTTTAAATAGGTTGACTTGGGACATTTTTTTCGTGGTTTTTGTACTAGACCCGTCGTCCATTTATTTGTAAGTCAATGGTGTAGAATTATAAAATTTTGGCGAAAGCGGCTCTCGAGACACGATTACAGTCAGAATTGCTGCCGCATAAGGCACTTCCATTGTTATTTTTCTTCTGTGAATTGTTTAATTATCTGTTTTTCGCGGGAAATCGTTATATCCGTATGGTAGCCATTTTGAAACTTATAGAGTATTGCATATGGAACTATGTTTAACTTTCTAAAAAACTAGTACGATTACAACATAATACGATACTTTAACAGTGATAAATAAGTATATCTTTTGTTGCAAATATTACCCTTCGGTCAATTTTTTTTTTTTAATAAGGTCAAGTGAGGGGACGAACAAGTCGTGTGTCTGATGGTAAGCTACGCGCCTGTCCATAACACTTGCAGTGCCATTCAGACCTTTAAATCGGAAAGACCTGAGGGGCACTACCACTGCGCCCGTCACCCCGAGACGTAAGTTGACAAGTCTCATACCTGTAATTTTACCAGCACCCTTACCCTTCAAGACCGGAATACAGTAATGCTGGCATTACTGCTTGGAGGCAGATATAGGTAAGATGGCAGTACTTCTCTGGACGGACTCTTTTACAAGAAGCTCTACTGCTACATATTTTTTTTTTCCATAAATTTTACATTTAAATTCAATTAAATTTTTTGCTTCATATAAAGCTTACAAAGACGTTAAATAGCATATGTATATAGGTAATTGACCTATAAATACGTCCTTCTTATAATATGATACCCTTTAAGAGCATAGCAAATATATTTGTAATGCCCTGACGGGACGAACAAGTCGTGCGTCTGGTGGTAACCGACAGTTCTGACCGTAGGTGTTGCGGTACCAGTCAGAGGCACTGCCACTACGTCACCATGAGACTTGACACGTCAAATAGTTTCCCCAACACCCGTACCCTTCAAAGCCGGAACGCAGTAATCCACAACAGCGGCAGAAATAGGTAAGGTGGCAGTACTTCCCCGAACGAACTCTTTCATAAGGAGAACAACACAATTGCTACTACTACTAAAACTATTAAAATCATTATTACTACTTGGAACAGTTATCACCAGCATTTTCCGGTATCTGCGTCAATTTACAACAACACGTCCAATGTCGCAACGCTGACATGCGTAAGAGTGTATAAAGTTAACCAATGCACGTGCAGATCAGCAACGTGATGCCCTGATTGTTGAGAGCATCGAGCAATGTATACTTAAACTAATTAATCATAACTATGTTTGAAACTGAATTATAGTATGTAACTAAGCTGTGTGACTGAACACTTTTTTAATGTGATAAAGATGAAAATGGGCCACAACGACGTCCACAAATGCTTCTTAACTTTAGCTTTGAATAGCCCTAAATTGTATCATGCAGAGTGTTACAGGCTTTCTAGTAACCAGAAGGAAGAGCGGTGAGAGTGGATGTTTTTAATAATGCGACAGTAAATCACTCTGAACTTAATTTATTTTGTACAAGCATAGACACTGTCAGGCGAGAAATGACCAAACGTCAGTTTCACTTATCACGTGACTGACAATGATTACACACTTGTCTATTATTAATGTTTTTTATGTAACCGTGTTCTTTGTTTTGTCTCTTAAAGTCTCTTTTTGGCTTGTTAAGCACTATAATTTTAAAATTGTTTCATGTTTTTGGAAATTCGTAAATGGCATTGGATTTCTCATATTGAAGTATATTAGAATTGTATTATTTCTTCGTGAATTCTCCTAAAATGTAAGAATAAATAAATAAACAATAGAGCAACTTATGAAAGAGTTCGTATAGGGAAGAACTGCCAAGTTACCTATTTCAGAGTGACGGGCGTAGTGGTGCCCCTCAGATTTTAGCGATCTGAGTGGCACTGTAACTGTTATGGACAGGCGTGTCGTTTTCGACCAGGCATACGCTTGTTCATATTGTCACTTGGTATCGTAAAAAAAAGAACTTAAGTTCTTGAGCCCCACTTTCCGGAGAAGCATCGAACGAAGTAATTTCGAAATAATTTAGTTAAATAGCCTTGATAGCCCAATGGTTTGACCTAGCATCGGCAACGGCAGCTTCATACTGCCTGTGATTTCAGCCACATAAAGGCTTTAAGCTCTTAGGCTTACTGTGTTGTGTTAATCAATATCTAAATTTGATGAAATTTTGTTTATAAAGATCGCGCTGACAGAACAGTCTCCTTAACAGCAGAACCACTGAGATGGTAATTCTCAATAGAATTTAAAAGGAAGGAGGTTAACCTCGATTTATTCTTCTTGTAGAATAATGTAATCTTCCGCTAAAATATTCAAATGTAAGGAATATGATCTTCTAGAGAAAAGGTTTATTAAAACACTTCGATATTGTAACTTATTCTTTTTAGAGGTTGTTTTGAAACACGTATTTGTTTACATTTTGTTTAAAGTATCCCAAACGTTGAAAAAAGTTCCCATAAAAACTTTAATACCCCATTTCAATACTCCGATACCGTTTTTTTCAACTTCGTTGAGTATTTAATATGACAAAAGTTATGAATATTTATGGTATGGTATTTGAACTTACCCATAAGCGCCATAAGGAACTGGTTGGCCAATCCTCCATTCCTGATTTTCTTTAGCCATCGTACAGCAAGCAGGAACATGTTGCGTACGCGCCGCCGCCGCAAAGGATGTTTCTTTTCAATAAAGAGATTGTTCACTGGTCACTGGTGCTATTCATGGTATTTTGTATCTGAAAAGACATATACGCGTTAAAATTATATATGATTGGGATAGCCGTGGTAGCCTAATAGTTTCACCTACCACCTCTCAGGTCGTGGGTTCGAATCCGGGTTTGCTTCTCTGAATTTTTCGGAATTTATATGAGAAATGACGATGACTAATGCACTGGCACCTTAAAAGCATTAAGACGTAGATTCTCAAACTATTTCTCGATTTTCATTTAAAGTAGCGGATTTTTATATATTTAATAATAAATAAAACACTTTTCCTAACCTATAACTGTTTAATAATCGAACAAATTTATAGAATTACATTCCGTTTATAAGTATATTCGAAAAAATACCCAGCTGCACTTCGGTATCCAGCTGCGTTTCAGTAGGGAAGGGGTCCCCAAAAAATTTCCTTAAAATAAGGTATATTGCAACTCGCACATCTGACAACACAGATCACATTAAATAAATTAATACTGCAATCTGTCACCTTTTGTCGCCATTAATACTGAATCCGAAATGCAGCAGAATTACAATTTTGTTTTTTTCATTCAAAATAAACTGCTTGCTGTGATGGGTTCTACACGATTATCAAAAATATAGTTTTAATTAATGTAGGATAATTAAAAATATGAATTTGCTGGACATGATAAGTAAGATACGTGCAGTAAATGTCATCATTCTTTAATTTGAAATTTAAAATGAACTTTTCGGTGAAGAAAATCATCTACATACATCTGCAAAGCAATTTAATTATGTGTGTGAAGTTATCATGAACTGTGGGAACTACAGCCCTCTCAATGGGAGAGGAGGCCTGTGTTCAACAGTAGGACTATATGCATATAAGCTATATCTATATATTTATTATGTTTGGGTGTCGTTGTGCCGTGGAAGAAGATGTAGTGCCAAAGATAGAGAAAGGGATGCTCCGGTGGGTCAGGCGTGAAGAGAGAATGAATGAAAAGAAGATTAATGAAACAGATTTACATGTAGATAGATAAGGCGAGTGAGTGAGCGAGTCGGTAAGGGCCGATGAAGGTGAATTTACCACGACCATATTGAAGATATCGAAGGACAGGTCAAAATTACCCTTAAACGAAGCGTTTTGTTAATAAGGTGAAAGATATGCGTCAGGATTGTAACAAATGAAACACTCTGGTCTCTTTATATTCCATTTAGACCAGGGTTAGATAAATTATAGACCACGAAGGGTTTTAGTTCAGCCCGCCAATATCCCTGCCAAAGCAGGAGACTGAATGTCACTCGGATATATATTTTGACAGCCTCATAGATATCCAAACACACGTACTTATAACATGTTAATATACATACAAAAATAACATAATGAAGTACTGCCACCTTTCCTATTTCTGCCGCTTAGTAGTCATGTCAGCATTGCTGTGTATCGGTTTTGAATGATTAAGGGTGTTAATGAAATTACAGGTACATGGGACTTGTCAACTTATGTCTAAGGGTGACGGGCACAAAAGTAATGCCCCTCAGATCTTTGCGATTTAAAACTCTGAATAGTGACACGCGTGTCGCTTAGTTGCTTACTTAACTTACTTGTTCGTTCCGTGACTTGTTATCATAAAAATTTTTATTAAATACTATATAATAATAAATCATAATGATCAGTACAGAGTACTAAAAAAACCGACCTCAAACGTACGTGGAATTACGTCTATTTGCTAAGTTTTATTGAAATATCTCCTAGTTCGCCACTATACAGGACTTGACACTGGAGATAATAAAATAATAAAATAATAATAAAATAATAAAATAATAATAAAATCGGTTGTCACTACTCAAAGTATATTGAGAGAAAACCGCCTTGAATTGGAGAAATAGCAAAATCACTATTAAAGTAATTGCTCCTCAATTAAAGTTAGGCGCTATTTATAAAAATGAATCTTCATGCGTGAACAGCTACCCTTCGAGGTGGATGATTTTCTTCAAAAAGAAATGGGACCACTATGGAAGTACCCCTTTCCAACAAAAAAAGAATCACGAAAATCGGTTCAAAAATACCGGAGCTATCGCACAACATACATACAAAAAAAACATACAGACGAATTGAGAACCTCCTCCTTTTTTGAAGTCGGTTAAAAAATATTTCAAAAGAAAATGCATTCTTTTTAATTTTTATTAAATTGATATTCAATTATTTTTATGTGAAAGTACTCCACTAGTTTGTTCAAAGATCGAACACTCAGAAAAAATTCCTACGATCCGGCCGGAATTCGCACCGACGTTTTCTAGCATACCGTGCCGGACGCTATATTAACTAACTAACACGGAACAAACCAGCGGACCTCACGAATTTTCCTTTGTGTTTGTTGTCGTGTTTTTGTATTTGGTTTTTTCAACGACTTTTCTAGCCGTAGCGCCATCTATGAGAACTCTTAAGTATTTCGTTACAAAGTTTTTTTTTTTTTTTAGTTACCTTTACAGCTACCAGCCAGACAACAAACACATAGAAAAATTCGTGAGGTCCGCTGGTTCAACCGTGGTTTAGTTGGTATAGCGTCTGACACGGTATGCTAGAAGACGTCGGTTCGAATCCGGCCGGATCGAAGGGTTTTTTCAGAGTGTTCGATCTTTGTATTGATAATTATAACAAAAAGATTTTTTTTAAAGGGAGGCTGTGTTTTTCTGGAACCTAATGAAAAATTTTTTACACCTCTGGTCTTGACGCACTCTGATAGAAAAGTACCTAGTGAACGTAATACGAAGACATAAAAGCTCTGTCCCATATCCGGCACGCACTGGTACTAAGGATACTTCCTATTTCCTTATTTCTTCTGTTAACCGGTTCAAATACTATAGGAAAATGTCCAATCTTTGTGTAGTAAAGGTCATTTGTAAGGAGATAAATATCTACCGTAGATTATCTTTTTACAAAGGTAAAATAAGTACGCATTTCACACATATCTCACCTGATGGAAAATGACGATGATAGAGCAGTGCCTATTCACTGTTATTATTTTATTTTTACTCTGTTTTATTTAGACTTGTACATAAACCGTAACATATGCTGATTTAAACGAAAATTCGTACGCGTCTTGCATGTGGAAGAGCGTGTTCCTAATTAGCAACGTAATGATCGTGAAAATATGGAAAACTAAAAAGTTTCAGCTTAGATTTATAAAATTAGGCTCAACTTATTTTGCGGCGGAAAGGAGTGGCAGCGAATTTTTGTAACGACATTGTACCATAGCATAATGAACTTTATGGGCAATTCTGTAAGGTACAAACTAGATACGAGTCAAAATCTTCCGCGGAATACGCGTGCATTCTCGAGTTGAAATGGGCAAAATTGCTTATTTTTCAAACGTTTAAACGGTCTGCTTTTTTAAAAAAGCGTGCTTTTTTAAACGCTTTTTCACTTAAACGCTTTTTAGTTTGAGGCTTAAAAAGTCGTTTAGAAAAACGTTTAAGCGCATAGGCTCTATGTTTATAAAAGCTTGCAACGTTATGTAGAATTAATTTGTTTAGGAAACATAGATGGCGCTACTTGGAACCTAGACACGTTGTAAAAAGTTGAAATTGTTGAGTACCTATAGAACTGACCAGTGACCAACGCTTACGCTTAAAATGAAATATAATAATATATAATATTCTCGAGTATGCACTACAAACGCGATGCAGTCGCTCATCGTTTACCTTTACACACGGGCGCGACTTTATGTAGCAATGCAAACGTGATGTAAACGCGCGACTGCATCGATACAAACGTGCGATTACATCGCTATTCTTGTGATTTACAGGCGATTGCACTGATGCAATTGCTTATAAGTCACAAGTGTAGCGATGTAATCGCGCGTTTTACGTACGTGCGTTTGCGTCGCTGCTAAAAGTCGCCATAACTACTCTTTGAATCGTATTGCCTAATATTTACTCCTAGACACTAGATAAATGAAAAGAAACTTGTGAAATTTTGTTACTTAAGTAGTTTACAACATATTTCATCCAGGATCAAAAAAGCAACAATTTGAAATTCTAACTTGAATTAGTACTGAAACTCGAATGTTTACAAATCTCTCTTTTCAAATAAAAATGATTAGGGATGAAACAGTTTTATGAATATTTTTTTATAATATCACTGCTAGTCAGAGTTTTAAATAGCAAAGAACTTAGGGGCACTGCCACTTAGCTTGACACCCTCAGACATAAGCTGACGAGTACATTGTACTTGTAATTTCACCAGCACACATATCCATCTAAACTGGAACGCAGTAATGCTCACATCACTCCTTGGCGGCAGAAATGGGTAAGATGGCAGTACTTCCCTGGACGAACTCTTACACAAGGAGCTCTAATGCTACTAAAACTTCCAATTGAACTTGAAATTCATAATAGGCATGACTTCAAGATTATTAATGGCCTAATCGAATTGCAGGGAAAAATGCTTGAAATTGTGGTAACAGTGACACAGCCTGAGGTGAAAACTCTAAAAATGATATCGACGTTTGAAAGGCAAAATGGGATTAGCGACACTTTTGGTCATATATAGCGTTGGAATCAGCTAATGTTTCTGATTCCAACGGTAAGTATATATATAACTCAATATGAACCAAAAGTGTCGCTTATCCCATTTTGCCTTTCAAGCGTCGAAATGTTTTGGTTTGTTGACATTTATTCTACATCGAATTAGACTAGAATATAGTAGTGTATTGTGGAACTAATTATGTTACACTTGTAGTAAAACAATTTTCCTGCCAATCGGCATAATCACGCTAAAAATTCTTACGACTTATACAAATCATGGACATAGCGTGATTCCGATCTGTTGTTTAGTATCTAGATCATAGATCAGACATTTGACGTAATATATGAGTTATTATTAATCTAGCGTAGGAACAATAGATTAATCAAAACAGTTCATAGTCCTATTTATGGGAATCAATAGGGCTTTATGAATAATATAATAGATTAGTCGCGTGCGCTTGCGTTGTATCATCGCGAAACTATGGTGATGCTTATTGTTATGATTTTGATATCTAATGCATAACAAAAT